GCTATTCATTTTTGTGTTAATGAAAAGGCTATACAACTTCGCGATTAGATTTTGATGCTGGTTTGGAAAAATTTAAAGAAACAAGCCCACAAATTGCAGCTTGGATTGATCGTATCCCAAGGAGAAGTGGAATATTGCGTATAATGCTGAAGGAAGACGATTTGGTCACATGACTACAAACCTTTCAGAGTGTGTGAACAAGGTCCTTAAAGGTGCCAGAAACCTACCTTTCACGTGCTTAAATTGTCATGTTAAAACTGGGTTTGAAGTCGTGTTCGATTTGTAACTTTGTAGTTTCAGCTTGTGAAATGTTTGTGGCAATACTGTCTCAGTATTTCTTAATCATCAGCATAAACTAAATCCAAATGCATGTATCAATAATATATGCGTCATTAAGTCCAAGAAGGCATAACAATAATAAGTTGCAGAAATAATGATAACAAGCCAATAAAACATGGAGTCACTGTTGTCTCCTCCTCCCACGATACTTGGCACAACGTGCCTAGTCATGCTCATACGGTGACAAGAAACACCGCTCCCTGGCCTTTCTATCAGGGTTACGCCTGATACCGTCTCCTGGCTCCGTCGCTGGACCACCATTGCCTCCGTCAACACTGTCCATAACCCCCACAATATCCTCCTGTGAAATACCTGCTGGAGGAATAGATAGGGGTGACTGAAGGTAGTCTGTCGAATATGCCTGAGGTGTGGCCATGACGGTAGGTGAATCAAACGTCGGTCTGTAATCCTCTGTAAACTCATCTAGACCAGCAAGTTTGATCAGGCTGCTGATACACGACAATCTGGTAGTGTATGAGTGGACATACAACTAACTATCTGCGCGACTCCTCTGACGAGGTCTGATGTGCAACAAATCCATGGTAAGGCCTCCACCTGATCCTGCGGCTGGGCATAACATCAATGTGATGACGGTAACATCTGATGTGGGAGAACCTGAACCGTCTGGACGTATAGATATTAAATCTGCAAAACAATTACGCAAATAATATTATCGATTAACATAACTTGACACTATATGCAGTTATAAAACAATTCAATATATTGATTGCAATAAAAATGTAAATGGCAAAAGCCTAAGACCTGGCTCCGAAGATTGCATCGACGTCAGTCACCTCAGGGAGCCCTGGTGAGATAGTAGGGAAACGCGTCCATGTCCACAACTGTAGTAACAGAGCAAATCCCCCCATGTCTGATCGTCTAGGCTCTGTGACCTTGCACAACTCCCTGTACATGGTAGCCAGTACGACGGAACCCCAAGAAAACATCCCCGTCCGCTGGAAATCATCAAGAAATAATAGAAAACGGGCTGGCACGAAGCTCGAAGCCGTCTCAATGAATAACATACCACCCAATATGCGCATGATCAAAGCACGAGTGTATCTCATGCGGCTGACTTCAGTGCCAGCATGCTGTCCGTAATGCAGAAACTGTTGTCGGAGAAATGTCAGCGAAAGTTGGTTCTTATGAAAGTCGCACTGCCGCTCGGGCTGTACTCCTAACAAATCTCTAATAAGGTCTGAGAAGGGATGGCCTCCAGCGTGGCCACAAATAACCTCTCCATCTGTGTGCAACCCTAGCAGATGGTGGACATCCTCCAAAGTAATCGTCACCTCACCCATCGGCATATGAAATGTGCGCGTCTCAGGCCGCCATCTCTTAACAAGCGCCAATATCAGTGAGTGGTCGATCTGTTTCGAAAAAATGTATTATTAATTAAAATTAATGAAACATACAACATGTAATGTTGAAGTTATACAGTCTACGACTCACTCACCTCATGGTTGCACAGACGTGCAACGTGACAAAAACCCAGCATGCCTCAGGTACGGCTGGATAGCCTCCGGTATATCCAAGTGAACGTGTGTCGCAGCGTGTCTCACATTTAGGAAACGATCACGTACTGCTGGGTCGTCCGACGTGTTCCACACATGCGTGGAAATATGTTTATCCTGCAACGTCACGAGAGAACGATCTGAAGGACCCGGGTCAATGAACATCTGGTGCGGGTCCTAATGCTCCATGGATCTATTTACAAATAAAGTAACATATTACAATTAAATCATTATATAATAAATTAAAAATTAAATACTAATTACTAAGAAATGAATAAATATCAAACATTATTTAATTAATCTATAATTCATAAATAATTAAATATTATATAATAAACAATAAATAATTTCTTTATTAGATTACTAGTAATAACAAAAGAATGTTATTTGATTATTAGTAATAACAAGTGCATAATAAAAAATTATAAAATACAATAATTTAACAAGATTAATTATGTTATACAAAAATTATATAATATATTAAATTATAAAATACAATAATATATTATTTTATACAAAAATTAAATAATACATAAAAAATAAATCAGGGTTACTAAGAAATAAATAAATGAATATTGTTATTTAATATAATATATAAAAAATAAATACTAATTACTAAGAAATATATTATATTATACAAAAATTATGTAATAAAATAAATACTAATTACTAATTAATATATAAATAAGTACAAAGATTAATGTCACAAATTTCTAACCTATTTTTCAATCCTATAACTAAATAATGTTAATTAATTAAAATATATTAATTATTGCATAATAAATAATTTATTAATTACAAAATTTAACAACATTAAAATAAATATTTTCTAACCTAACCCTAAACCCTATAAATAATATGAAACAATTAATATTATTAAATACTACATTAATATAAATTACTACACCTAATAAAATTAACATACATATTCTAAGCCAATGTCAAAATTTTCTAACCTATTTTTTAAACCTAGAACTAAATAATTTTATTTAAATCAATATTATTAATTATTGCATAATCAACAAATTATTGAATACAAAATTTAACAACATTAATATATAAATTATCTAACCTACATTTCAACCCTATAAATAAATAATGCATATAAAAAATTTATTTAATACATTAATTAAATAATATGCCACAATTAATATTCAATTAATATTACTAATAATTGCATAATTAAAAAATAATTTAATGATAAATTTAATAACCTTAATATAAAAAATTTATAACCTAAATTTAAACTCTATAAACAATAGCAAACAATTCATATTACTAAATAAAGCATTAATATAAAATATTAAACTACTAACATTAACATGCATATGGCTTACTCATAATTGTGTCTTCTAACCTAATGTTCCATCCTATATAAGATATTAACAACATTTAAACAACAATAAAAAGACGTAAAAAAAATTAATTAAACCATAATTTACTAACCTCAAATGAAGAGAGATAAATGAAATGAGAGATAAAGAAAAATTAGAAAGAAGGAGAGTGAGACAAGAAAAATGAGAGAGTGACAGGGGGGAGAGTTTGGGGTGGGGAGGGGGAGGGGGAGGGGGAGGGGGGGAAGTGTTATATAGGGGAGGGGAGGTGTTATATAGGGGTTTGAAAAATTAGCCGTTGCACCAAGTTCGCTGGGGGCAGTCAAGGGCGGAGACAAGGGGAGGCTAGGGTGGGCGGCCGCCTCCCTCCCCCTACCGAAAAAAAATTAAAAAAAAATTAATGCAGTTGAAGGCCAAATATAATACTGTTATTATTGTTAGATGTGCTTCTTTTGGAAGTTTTGATTTGAGATCCAAGTTGAAATCTACCTCCACTTGACTTCACCTAATGTGTGTGTTAAGTGTAACCTTTCCTGCATTTTCTTTTTAATTTTCATATCCTATGTTTTGGTTAATGAAAGCTTTGGTCCTTTTGCCACCTTTTGCTCTCTTTTCATTTGCATTGTGTTTCTCTTTGTGTAGTGGTTTCATATAGAGAAAATGAGTTTGTTCTAACTTAAAAGATTCACTTTTGGAGGCAACTTGGTTGCAGTCTTTTATTTTTTATTTTTTTTAAAATGTAGTTAAAAGCATTGTTTTAGTTAAGGAACTCTTTTTTTTATTATTGCTTTAAACTATTTTTTATGTCTGTTTGGACCCGACCAATAGTACATTTTGTTCAATCTTTCAAATGTTGTTAAATGTTAATATTTTGGTAGGAAATTACCTAAATGAGTTCCTACGAGGTCAATAGGTAAAAAAAATACTAATATTATGCAAGACAAAAATTAATTTTCGCCCCCTCTCCCCTCCAATCCTGGCTCCGCCACTGGGGGCAGCGAACTTGGTGCATGTCAGCCACGTGGCCTGCTAGTCGTTTGACATAGTTCGCTGATGGGGCCAGCGACCTCTGTTACATGCAAGCCACGTGGATTGACAGAAAGTGCTCATCATTTAATGCTGCAGAGTTCGCTTGTATTAGTAGAGAACTACGTGTCCACCAAATGTGTGACACACCATCATACCTAGTTCGCTACTACTGTGGGCGAGCTTGCCCGCGTGACAGACTGGTAAATTACACTATTTGCGTGACATTTAGAGAAATAAGTTGTGGAACAGCGACACTTTGATCACTGTTCCTTGAATTTTCGACATATAAATCCATCTAAGGACTTTCTAATTACAATTTGGGGACGCCGATGGAAATCGGAGTGGTGAGTTGCAATTTAGGGCATGCGTCGGTGACGCAATTAACGAGGATATATCATTAATTTTTTTCATTTATTAATTTTAATTACAAAACTATTTAATTAAGCTACTAAACTCTATCTTAAATTCTCATTTCTCAATACTCAAAATAGGTTATTAGATTATAAAAGAAATTCAAAGTTTGTATGCTCAAGTTTAGGATGTCACAACTACTGTACAACGCTTTACTCATGTATCAAAAATTGAATCTGATTAACTTCAAGGAGCAACACCTTAAACGTAGAAAATATGTATTGTTTTGCCATTAATTAGCAGTAAATATATTTAATCATCATGACCAATTTTGTGATATATATCCCCCAGGACTACGCCTAATGTCAGGCATGAATACAGACACTCTAATACGAAATGATTCTTACAGTGGAAGGGTCACGGGAAGGTACATCCTGCCATACATTACAGTTAGATTTCTATTGGGTGTCACAATTTTCATTGTGCTGTTGATCTACACATGCCTAAGAAGACATAGATCAATATATGGAAATATCGAAGATTTTCTGCAAGGTAATACCCTCATGCCAATAAGGTATTCATACAAAGAGATAAAGCAGATGACTAAAGGTTTTAAGGACAAATTGGGTGAAGGAGGGTATGGCTATGTCTATAAAGGAAAGCTACGTAGTGGACCATTTGTAGCCATAAAGATGTTGAGTAAATCAAAGGCTAATAATGGCCAAGATTTCATCAATGAAGTCGCAACTATTGGAAGAATACACCATTCTAATGTGGTTCGACTTATTGGCTTTTGTGTTGAAGGATCAAAACGTGCTCTTGTCTATGAATTCATGCCTAATGGCTCTCTTGATAAATATATTTTCTCAAAAGAGGGAAGTGTGTCTTTATCTTACAAGAAGATATATGAGATCTCTCTTGGTGTGGCTCGTGGTATTTCTTATCTGCATCAAGGTTGTGATATGCAGATTCTGCATTTCGATATAAAGCCCCATAACATCCTTCTTGATGAAAACTTCATCCCTAAGGTTTCGGACTTTGGCCTTGCAAAGCTTTATCCTACTGACAATAGCATTGTTACTTTGACAGCAGCAAGAGGAACAATTGGTTACATGGCTCCAGAATTGTTCTACCAAAATATTGGGGGAGTATCCTACAAGGCTGATGTCTATAGCTTTGGAATGCTTTTGATGGAAATGGCAAGCATGAGAAAAAATTTGAATCCACGTGTAGAGCGTTCAAGCCAACTTTACTTTCCCTTTTGGATTTATGATCAATTGGGTGAAAATAGGGAGATAGAAATGGAAGATGTTATTAAGGAGGAAAGAGATGATGTGGTAAAGAAAATGTTCATAGTTGCACTATGGTGTATACAGTTAAAGCCTAGTGATCGTCCTTCAATGAACAAAGTAGCAGAGATGCTTGAAGGAGAAGTTGAGAGTATTGAAATGCCTCCAAAGCCTTCCCTGTATCCACATGAAACGATTCAAGAGGATCTCGAAACCAACTCAAACCAAACTGTATCAGATACTGGCTCTACTAGTTATCTTGAGGAAATTGCTACCACTCCTTTAATGCATTCAGCTTGATAATTGCTCCTAATTTGCTTTACTATTGTATTATTTAGTTGTCTTATGGCCAAATACTATTTGCATAATTGTAACATATAAAGTTGTTATTTTGGATAAAATTTCTTATTATATGTGACATCTGTAAGAAATATATTATGCATTTCCGAAGTAATAATTTTTTTTTTTAAAGAAAGTCCAGTATCTACCTTACATGAGCTAAATTTTTTTTGCTAAATACACTACACAGAAAACAACTACACTACACTTGTTTCCACAAAAAAAAAAAAAAAAACAACTACACTTCTGCACAAGCACTACGGATATCTTGGTATAGTCCTTTTTCATAATCTGAGAACGTGAATTAATTAGTCCTTGTGAAGCTGCCTTATATTCATTATAACTGGATCTGCAGAAGCAAATGGATTTGTTGGCATACTTAAATTGTCTCTATCTCCTTCCAACATATATGAACCACAACTTGCATAGAAGGACGCTGAACTGGGTGCCATTGGATGCACCAGAGTCCCACAATTGCAAGCTTCTTAGCTAAGTGTTCTTCTATGGCAGTGGAGTGTGACTGCTCCATATGTTTTTGCTGTACATATGGTGATGATGTAATTGGACGCTCAAATTAATATTTGATTGAGTTAAAATAAGTAAATTTGAGAGAGAAAGTCTACTGAAGTCTAGATCCTTCATATTTATAGTGCGTGAGATACTTATATTTAGTTTAAGAAAAATTAACATACATTTTCGGAGCATATATATCTAATGAACATGTAATTATAAAAATTCCATGTGAATATGTTTCTTGTTTTTCTTAATATTCGTGTAATTATTTAATTTAGATCGAGAATATGATGTAACATTTTTTCGATTTAAATCAGGGATGTTACGATACATACCAAAGTTTATATGTTTATGTGTAAAATACGAAATTAATGAATCTAATCATTGTATAATGTGATATTATTTTTCTGGTTCATCAAATTTTTTATGTGTTTATGTGTGATACTTACGCTATTAATTAACATTTTATAAAATACAAAACTTAACAAACTTTACTGTTGAATCATGTCGTATTATATTGGTAACCATGCTTACCAAGTTTTAAATGTGTGTATGGGTGGAGATTCACTTACTCTGGAAATAAGTCTTAACCACTTAAACATTTTAATAATTTGTTGGAGAATGTGCATTAGGGTTTTTTTTTACCATTGTGCCCCTTATTAAATAAAAATTACCACTTTATCCTCTCCCAAAACTATACACCAATTTATCCTTGTTTAACCTATGAATGGACCATGTAATCGATTACAAGATCTATGTAATCGATTACATCACGATTAACTGATGTTATCGTTTACACCAATATACGGTAATTGATTATACATTAGTGAACAGAGTCATATAAATTTTTTTCCTCTAGATTCTTTGGATTAAAAGAGCTTTTATGATCATATACACATAATATTGGACTTGAGGAGGGGATTTGTGGTATCACAATACCTAATATGACCCTAAATTTGAGATATTTTACCTTAAAACTTCGAAATGCCATAACATTGGCTTTAGGCGCCCGAATCAGGTGATTTTTTTTATTCCAAAAAACTTTTCAAGACGAACGCAACCATAACTTTGGCCTTGGGTGCCCGAATCAGTTGAATTTTTTTATTCTAAATGACTTTTTGAGACGAATGCGCTGACAACTTTTTTCAAAAAAATGCTTCCATGTGACCCGTTTTGCATATGTTATCCCTATGGATGGTGTTATTTAATTCCTATTCTTATTTTGACTTTTCAATACTAAAAAGTAATCATTTCAGCGTGTAAATATCAAAAAGTTACGTGGAATAAAAAAATCACTTGATTCGGACTCTCGAGCCAAAATGTAACGCCCGGTCGCTTCACGAATCAACGACTATCCCCACATACTAACACGAGACTTTTCAATGTGCTTTTTCCTCTCTCACACACTTCCTGGGAAAACTTCCCAAGAGGTCACCCATCCCAGAATTGCTCCAAGTCAAGCACGCTTAACTATGGAGTTCTTTCATTTCGGGCTACCGAAAAGCAGATGCATTTTGTTAGTATAGGTCATACCAATTAATTCTTATAAGCTATCCCAAATTGTACAGTCTTATACCTGCACAGCCTTTGGAATCCCTCTCTTTCGGGTGTCGATTCGATTCATTCATGCATGTAACCCCCTGCTGGAAGTCAGTCAGGAACCGCTCATTGTCCGTGCCTCTTTGCACCGGCGATCACTCCTCGTCCTCGTCAGCGCTCGGGATGTTACACAAATGTTATTGCCTTATAAATTTTAGGATAAATTTGAGCCATGTAATCGATTACATCAACTAGTTAACGATCAAACAGGAATAGATTAATGTTAAATTTTAGTAAAAGATCAAATTTATTAGATAGTATGAAAACAGAATCCTACTGGTAATAAAAATTTTAAAAGGGGAAAAATGGTCAAAAAAAAAACTTGTCCATTAGTAAATCTAATTATTGATCCATGCATGTGATATTATTTTCATGATCATGCATACCATATTTTTAGATAAAATTAAATATTTATATGTATATAATATTTAATCAATTTTTGCTTATATTTTAGATAATATATTATACGTTAAAATAAGATTGTTGAATAAAATGTAATTAGTTGTTTAATTTTTTTTGAAAGATTATAAACTTAATTACATCAATGTAGTCAAAATTGAGTTTCTATGTAGAAACGGAAGGGGTAGTAGAAACATAATTCGTAGAAACGAGAAGAAACGTAAATAAAAAATTATATATATATATATATATATATATATATGTTTATATATGCATGTACAAAAAAAAATTCACATAAGTTACTACTCAAAATTTAATAAATAACTTCATATTTAAAAGATATAAGTCACTTAACTATATAAGATATAAGTCCAAAAACATTAAAAGAAAAAATGGAATTTAAAAAAATGAAAAATAGGTTTTTAAAAAATAAAAGTAAAATTCGGTAGAGGGTGGGTTTATTTTTCCATTTGGTAATATTCCCTAAAAAATAAATAAAAGACTTTTATTTTCTAAGTTATTAGACGGAGTCGTGGTTTACTAATGGACGGCAATATCCACATGTGCTACTACTAAAATAAAATAAAAGACTTTGGTTTTTTCACCAATTAATTAAAAAAATTAGTTTTCTGAGTCATTACTTTTATGTACTTGTGCTTATTAATGCCTTAATGGTCGGCATTCGGTATGCTTTTAGACTTGTCTACCGTTGAAAACAAGGTCTAAAGAAATAATCAATAATCACCAATAAAATATGGAAAAAAATATTTATTTTTTTAAGACAATTTATATTATTTTACTTTCATAAAGAAGTGACACTCATATTTTTAATTTATTCTTTTTGTCAATTCTCTCTCTCATAATCTATCTATTACTCTCATTTAAAATGACATCTCTTTATATACTTTAAAATGATATATATTTTTCCAATAAAATATATAACAGGCTAGCTAGATGTATAAATACGTTATATTCATTCATTGCTTTTTCTATAACCAAAATTGTTATTTAAATCTTTTTTTCTCATAAGAGTCATACATAAACGACGCAATTCAAGTAAATTAATTGAGATTAATTTAATTGATATTCTATCAATCAAGCGGCAACGAAAATTAGGCCAACCAAAAAAAAAAAAAAAAAAACAGTAGGTGAAAACAATTCTAATCAAAGCCCCAGTACCATCAACATAAATTAATTCTCATTTTGTCTTGAGCGAAGGTAGTAAACGGTCCACACTCCACAGTCTATAACCAACCAAGTTACATCCGACAAAGAGTGGGCTTACTTTTCCATTCACTTGCATTCAATTCATACATAGCATGGTTCAGTTGGGTGAAAAAAGTTTTGGTGGTAGAGGAACACTCACCTTGACCATTGTTGGTACAGCAAAATTATATATATATATATATATATATATATATATATATATATATATAATGAATTTGCAATAAATATATTTATTTTAGGATTCATACGCGGATCCTGACATTAAAAAATAATCAAAATCTCCATGCATATTTTGACTTTCTATATATTAATGTAAAATTTCTCATATGCAACAATATTATAAGAAGTATTAAAGCCTTTCATGATAGGTCTTTCTTTAATTGGGGATCCCGCGTCTCATTAAGATAAATGGTGAAAGATGCTTCATTAAATAGTCCATTAACTAGTGACAAAATTATAGATAATATTTAATTTTAGAAATTAATATTTTTTATATTGTAAGAGATAATTCAGTTTTTTACATGTACATAAAAGTATACAGAGTCTACAACTTTTTTTCTCTCTTATCTTCACATGATCCCACATAGACCTCATATATTTTTATGTGCGTGAAAATAAAATTATCTCCTATAACATAAGAAATATCGATTCCTTAATTTTATATTGGTTAATATTATGTCAAATTTATAGATCATTAGATAGTCCAAATACTAGGAACAAAAGTAAAAAATTTCGAGTTAGCTGACTCCATGGTCTACGATACCCCACAAAAATATGTTGTTCATTGAAGAAAGTTCCTGCAGAAAATTGGCTTAATTTTACATTCAAAAACATTCATAAATGCTTGTGGTGAGTGGAAATCGTCTTTGTTTTAAAATAGAATAACGATAAAATGTATCTGCTTTTCAAAATGATTGTCGTATAGTACTTTTTTTTTTTTTTTTTGGAAATCGTATAGTACTTTTATTTGGAGAAAAAACCTATATATGTTAGACCCCTCAAATCAGTTAATAAGATTTATATTATTATTTACGGTAAATTACAATTGGTCATTGTGTGGTTTAGCTAAAAACCATTTAGCGTGTGTGTGAATTCACTGATTTTATATTAAAAAGAGTTTGTGATTAAAATCTTACTAAAAACATGGAGGAAAAAGATAATGTGCCTCCCAAAATCAATTAAAACCAAACGTGCTGCTAGTCCCGCTGTTAACAAATTTGATCTTTTATTTGTTATGTTTATGCATAACCATTTTTTATTTCTTATCTACTTAGTA